AGGGTGCAGCTGCTTGAAACAGAGTAATTTGACATAGTAGGTCAGCCACTGGTCACAGGTGGGACTATTTGGGAGGCATAGTGTCCTACCTTGGAGTAAAAATGAATGAAATGAATGCTCAAACTGGTACAGGGTGGGAGATGTGTGAGACCTCCCTGTTTGGGTATCACTGAGATATTTTATCGGTGTTACTGAATGTGGAAGTGTCCTCTGAGATTGCAGTGAGTCCAGGATGCCAGTGCAAGGGAGCCCTTCACCACTTGCGTTGACTGACTGTGCCAGGTCTTCAGTGTGTTGGTGCTGGGGTGTCTTCATGCAGCCACATGGTTCTCTGGATCAGTAGGTTGACCCAGGTGAAAGTGGATGAACAGGATCTTGTAGCTGGCAAGACAGAAACCCATGGCTAAGTAACTTGGAAGCCAAAGACTGGGATACCAACCATCCTGCATGTGGAACTTGGCAGTTCCTCAGAAAGGCAGTTATTAAGAGTTTGAAAATAAAAAGGAACATAAACATACGATTCCAAGAATGGTGATGCATGTCTTCTAATAATCAAATTCCTTTGAAGTGTTTCAGTTTTAATACCCAAATCACTAACTTTGCAAAAATCTGGTATCTGCCTCTTCTCCTAGGCTCTTCAGGTGAATGAGTACAGGGATCTCTACTTCTGTGGTGAGAAGAATTCAAATGCTACAGTGTTTGTGGGAGGTACAGGCAGTTGTCCCCCCAATATTTCAGAAGAAATGTAAGTAGCTCATTTCTCTCTCATGGTGGTTCTAGACCTGAATTGTGATGATTTACTTTAAGAGAAGCCTGACTGTTTCAAAATTTTGTACCATGCATGGAATAACCACTCACAAGCCAGTCTCAATAATATGTCCCAAAATAATGTATTTCAGGATTATACAGTAAAACTCCACAATTACCCAAGAGTTAAGTAGGGAGGAAACTTTATTCATAAAAATAGGCAGATGAGCTGAATTAAGTTTTGTATTTGATAACCTAGCCCTGACTTACCAGTTTTCTTAAACAAACTGAAGTTCACTTAACAACTGAAATGCAATGTATGGACAGCTACAGAGTTGCTGGAAAGCACTAGACCTGTGATCAAAAACATGACTCCCCCACAGAGCTTGTTTGCAAATATTAACCTCCCTGCAGATACAGCACAAGGCTGAGGTATCTATCTTTCAGTGCTTTATTTTGCCCTATTTGAAATACTCTTGAGTATTGATACTTTAAGTTGTGGCAATGCAAGTATTTCATGACACGTGCTAGAGGGCTGGCAAACTGAGGGTTTTGCAGGGAACATTGCTAAAGCGCTGTTTCCACAGCTCTTAGACCCCAAACCCCTGCTATGGACCTCAACCTGCTTTTGTACTTACCACGGTTTAAGGTGGTTCTGAGATTTCCTTATAAATTGCCAGCTATCTATAAACAACAATTAGGTTACTACTGAAAAATTGTGAGAACCAGAGATCTAGATTTGTCCCTTAAGTTTTTTTTGATGATGGGTTATTTCTGTCACCTGTTTTGCAGAGTTGAGGGTAGAAGGATCTTTGTGGAACAGGAATAGAAGTAATTACTTGAAGACTTGCACCACAGTAATACTAAGTTGCACCCCATGCTTTTCTTCAGGTGTTCTGGTGAAGCATACCTGTGCAGCCAGGGAATCGCACCGACCAGCTGGGCAATGTGGGAAAACATAGTGGCTCTCTTCTGCATGACTGTTATCTTCCTTATCATTGCCTATGCAAAACTCCGGTTTATGAGAAAGTTCACATAGAATCCTGCGTTGCTTTGGTCTGCAGCTTCTCAGGTCTTAAAACCGCAAAGCCTGTTAGGGCCCACTGGAGATTGCCAGAATATTTCAGCTAAGTTTACTGGACTTCAGATGGGAACCCTGTCCTCCTGTTTCTGGAGTATGATCTCCTTAGGATTGTATGATTGTGGTTTGTAAGAAGACATGCATTAATGTACGCTGCGTAAGTGATTTTTTCTAAGACAATATAACTCTCCTAATTCCTTAGGTATATATCAAACTATATATTGTAAAGCATTATTATTCTGTGGCCAGCTTATACTGGAAATATTCCTTTGAACATGTGAGCTTCTCCATCACGAAAGGTATAAGGTGATGGTGGCATTTATGCATTGCTAGTGCCTGTCACATCTGAGGAGAGCTAGAGACCATTCCCAGTGTTTTGGAGATGCATTTGAATTTGAAGTGAGTATGGGGTATGAGCTGTCCTTGCCAAGCAAGAATATTTATACTTTTGGTAGCTTCTCAGTGGAAGCTACTTGCAGAAACAACTTTTGCTTCATTAAAAACTAAACAGCAGTGGTGTAACACATCTCATCTAAGAAGAGTGAGAAATATATACTGCTGTACTGTAAAAAAAAAAACCCACATCACACCAAACAACTTTCCCCCCTCTGACCAACAGCAAAAAATATATTTACTACTTAAAAGGAGAGGAAATTACCTTTTTCTTTATTTTTTTAAATAAAAATTTGTATACTTAGCACTGGCAGAGTTTTTTAACAATAGACAATGTTTAGCTGCACAATCTATGTATATAGTGCCAGTTACACTGTGGAACTGAAGAAAAACACATAGACATTGCTGTGGCAAACTACAGCGACATCTACCGCAGTCCCCACAGGACAAACTGTAGCGTGCCAGCAGCTGTCTCCACACCATCATCAGCAACAACAGAGATTAAGTTGCATTAAGACCCACAGATGCAAGTGGACCAGCAAACGCCAAAGGAAGATATCCTCAAACACAGGACTAGAGAGTTCTCCTGTGAGGGCCGGGCTGAAAGCAGCCCCTGGAACCGGCCTGCGGTGTGAAAGTGCTGCTGTGCCCCAGCAGTGATCGGTGCGGTTGTGGTGTTAAAGGGACAATGATCGCACCGCCGGCGCAGCCTCGTCGAGCACGAACCACGCCCTCTCTGGTGAAAAGTAAACTCGTGCCACCTTTTACACCTCGGTGTTTATCTCTCCCCTGCTGCCGGGACGAGGGCTGCGTGTTGTTGCCCGTTCCCGCAGCTGTCACCCCCCCTTCAGCCGCCGCGGCCGGCAGCTCACGGGGAGGCGGAGCCGGGGCTGGTCCCCGCCCGGCGAGGGGCGGTGCCGGGCCTGGCGCGGCCGGAGGAGGCGGCCGCGGGGCGGCGGGAGGGGCTCTGTGCCCATGGCGGCCGCGGCGGAGGGGGCGGCGGAGGGGCCGCCCGAGTCCGGCGCGCAGCCCGCCAAGCGTAAGGGCCGGGGGCCGGGGCCGGGGCCGGGCGCGCCCGGGGCCGCGGTGCGGGGCAGGGGCCGAGCAGGCTGAGGCGCTGGGAGGGACCCGGGGCCTTGAGTGTGCCGGCAGGGCCGGGCCGGCTGCTGCTGCTGTGCCCCTGCCCCGGGGCACGGCCGCGTCCTCCCCCGCCTGACTCCCCTGCTCCGGCCGCGGGCCTCGGGCAGCCTTCGCGTACGAGCCGGCGAACGCTGCCGAGGAGGGAAGGAGCGGCCTGTGGGTTTGGGGAAGAGCTGCCGGACCGCTCCGGGGAAGGGCAGAACGGGGTAGAAACGGGTTTAGAGAAGAAGAGCGGCGATTGCCGCTTTCCGCAGGCGGGGATCTGCCGTAACCCCGTGAGGGGGACTGGGGGGACTGTGCTGCTGTTCCGGGTCAGTGACTGGAAATAAACATCAGCAGCGTGCGCAAAGTCACTCTGAAGTTCTTCCCAAATTCCCTTCCCGTCGTCTAAGCACAGGAGGGGGCTGATATTTGCCAGTGCGGTCAGGCCGGGTGCCTATCTCTTGAATGCTCCCTAGAGTATTGCTTCGGAATAATTTTGGTATGGTATCAGCTGCTTCAAGGAATCTGCCAGGGTTTGTTACCCTTTAGCGTAAAGTAGACAACTTATATGGGAAGTAGATGTAGGCAATTTAAAGGAAAAAAATATGGGACCATCTTTCCAGTGTGTTCCTGCACCTGCTATAGCTTTGCCTTAACCCTGTAATGTCTGTACCCCGAGTAGAGGATCCTGCTGTTGAAACCGCGGAGGAAGCGAAGGAACCAGCGGAGGCAGACATCAATGAACTCTGTAAAGACATGTTCAGCAAAATGGCCACTTACTTAACAGGTGAACTGACAGGTAAGACACTGCAATACCAATACTTACCTACAAGTAAGTTCTTGTTTCTTTTCACTTTCTTTCAAAGAAATCTGCTGTGTAGTTTGTCTAAGCTAATTTAGATCACATCTAGTAAGACTGGCAATTCAAGTCTGACATGTTGCTAGGCTACTAACAACACTGAGATTAGTCTTATTAATTTAATAAAGTCCTGGAATAGCACAAATATTTTTCAAAATAATTCAGTACAGTATCAGCAACTTAAAAATAATTCTTTTTAGTTTTGCATAAGTTTGTGTATGGAAAAGTGAACAAACAAAAGCGGTCTAGGTTCAGAAAGACTAGAAGGGAAGCACAACAGAGTGGAGCATTTGCAGTTATTTTGTTTCTGAGAGCAAGGATCATGCAGATGTTTTTCCAATATATTGATGCTTTAGAATAAACTGCTGTGCAAAATTAACT